TATATATATATATACACGTGTGTGTATATGTATGTATGTATATGGATACACTAGTGAAAAGAAATATTTTGTATATGTGTGTTGTTTAAAAAATAAAAAGGAGAGTGAGAGTTGAGCCAAAGAAAAGTAGTTATTGAAAGCGGAATGCTAAAAACACACTTTTTTAAACATCTTTGTTTTAATTGGTTAAATTTATTGAAAAACGTAAAAGTTGGTATATATAATTACACAAATAAATAATTATATAAATAGTTTTTAGACATATCTTATTTAATAACTCTCTCTCTCTTCATTTTATGATTTTTAATAAATTCTAACCAATAAAAGAAAATGTATTAAGGGAGTGTATTACTTCCTCTTGAATGAATTGAGGGGTAAAGATGTGCTTAAAAACAATAGAGTATAATGGTAAAAAAAAATTGTGAAGATAAAAAACATACTAAAAAAATTTGTCATTATATGTAACAGTTCTTGTAATGACAATTATTAAAATAAGGATGAAACTTAGGTACAATACTATGGATACTATTGGTGATATACTTGGTAATATGTTTTTACATTTAATGTTGGCTTTGATAATATACATTTATGCATATTATCGAAGTGGAGCTCCAATTAAAAGTTCTTAATAAATATGTTAAATTATACTTTTGATTATTTATCTTATTTTTTAGTTTCATTTTGATCTTTTACCTCTCAAAATCTTTATTTTAGTCTCTTATATTTTATATTTTGATGAATTTGGTCATTTTAAAAAATGATAATTTTTAATTTCATGACACAATTTTAAATCAATTTTTGATTGATTTAAGATGTGCAATTAATAACATTATATTTAATTATATAAAAACTAAAAAATTCAATTAGTGTTCGAATCTAAAAAAGTATAATCATAATAAAAAATTACGTAAAAAATATATCTCACGAGCAATAAAAAATAATATAAAATTAATTTTTTTTTAAAAAAAATTCAATTTCATTTTGGACTTAATGTTCGTGTGATTTTCATCATGTTTATCAAACTTTTTTATTTAAATTTTAGTTGCATTTAATGATTTTCATATAAATGAATATAATAAGTTTCAAATTTAGAATTAGTCAAAAAATAATTCAAAACCGTGTGCCAAAATTGAAAATAATCATTATTTAAAAATGGTTAAATCGATTCAAATTTAGGAGATAAAAGGCTAAAATGAACATTTTAAAAAATAAAGAACTAAAATGAATCTTAAAAGTAAAATAAAAGACTAAAAGTGTAATTTAATCTA